GTTTTTTCCGTTAAGTTTTTTTTTTTTTGTACATTATGCTATAAAGGTTGTACATTAAAATATTTTGGACAAATATACTCCTACCGTTATAACTTCCGTTATCTTTTCCATTATTGTTACTATGCACATGCATCCACCATATATTTTCTTATCTTCTTCATTAATAATTAATAATATATACACATTAAATATTTGAGCTATATGTTAATTATTAGATAAATATAAATATCAAATTTATAAAAATGATTTACATTATTATTATTATTATTATTATTATTATTTAGAATAATTTAAATATCTAAAATTTAAATAAATTTAAAATTTTAATATAATGTATTAATATTGGGCACCTATTTTTTGCGCATCGCGCATAAAAAATACTAGTAATCATATACAAAGGAGGGTTCAGATCAGAAAACATCTCCTATAAAAAATCTGAGCACACTCATACTTTTATCTTAAAAAATCAAATACACTAGGATTTTAAAATTTGTTACGTTGTTATAATTTTTTTAAAATTAAATATAAAAGTATTTATTACTTTTGTTTTGTTACATGCATTATTAATTGAATCTCATTAACTGTGGCTAATAATTAATAAAATCAAATCATGTTATATATATATATATATATATATATATATATATATATATATATATATATATAGAATCAAACAAAAAAACATGTCGACAATTGATTCCAGATATCAGGCAGGTGCCATGTCAAGGTCAGTTGTTTTCATTGTTTTCACCTCCTTTTTTGTTTTTTTCTTTCGAAAACCACATTGTTTTCACCTATATTTATTTGATGCATCATCGCCTTTGTGACTATTATTTATGTTTGCTCTCTGAATTACTAGCTATTACACAAGAGGGGTTTATCCCTTGCACACCATCAAGTAGTAACTGCGGGTTTCTGTTGTCATTAAAATCAAAATTATAACTAGTTTCTCTGTAATTTGCTAGCTATTACACATGAGCGGGGTTTATCCATTGCACACCATCATGTAAGGGTTGCGAGTTTCTCTTATCACCCAAAACAAAATTATACTCCGTAACTAGTAGTGATAACTTTAAAATTTTATACTTGTATTTGTAGTAGTCAGCTCTACGTGTCAAAAGTAAAATATCATATTTGATCATTTGCCCTCATCTCCGCCCAATAGAAACTAGTTTACTATGCGTCTATGCTGATTTTGATAGTGTATGATACAACCTATAACATTGGTGTAATTGTACCAGGTATAACACGACGTCGATGATGTTCAATGCCAAAAAAGTTTTCCCATATCTTATTATGTACATATTTTTATTTTAATATTTAATATTATATAACATCATTATCATCATATCAATTATCAAATATGGATCGGAATAATATATAAAAATGAGATGAGCGAACTATTTGCTAAAAGCTTCAAGATGTTTCAATGTCAATTCAATGATACCCATACACACACACACACATATATATATATATATATATATATATATATATATATATATATATATGCGCTTCCATGAGTCATGTAACACTTTCACTTTATAAATTATAATACAAGATTGATTTAATTTATATAATGGATCGAGTCATGTATATACATTTATTTATAAATGAAAGATATGTATTTTTTTTTGGGTGACGAGAGAACCCATAGTTATTACCTAAGTGTTTGTATTGGGTAAAACTCATCACTTTGGTGTAATAACTCACAAATTACACATGAGAGGTAGTAAAGTGCACTAAGTAAGCTCGATTCACTTCTTTTGACACACAACTCATCTCCTTTTGATCAAAATAACGCCACTTTTTTTGGCCATCTTAGCAAGACAATCGAGAATCATATGAGACTTTAAAATTCAGTGTTATATTTATTTTGCTTAATTAGTACTATTTTTGTTATGAATAATTTCTGGCTAAATTAAATGTTTATATCTGGCAAAAAGTACACCTTCTGAAAGTTGCTAGTACGTAAGCATCCTAATTCCTAATTAACCTCAGCAAAATATCAACCTAAATCCCTCTGTTGGACCATTAACTATCCTTAATTAGGGTGGTTAATAATGGGATTAGGGTTTATGTTAGATGCATTTATTAACTAGATAAAGTTTTTTTTTTTTTAATTAGTACTATTGATTCTATTAGGATGTAGTATCTGTTCTATATTTTTTCTATTTGTTGCAGTCCAAACAGTACGCCAATACCCCACCACGCACCGGGGTTCAATCCTACGACCTTCCTCAAGAAAAGCCACAGAGATGCTTGGCAACTAGATAAAGACTTTTAAAATTTGGAAAATTGGAGTTGGAATGAAAACTTCGTGAGAACATTCTAACAATATATTTTACAATTGTTAAAATTTTCACTTCTTAGCTTATATATGTTCACCGTGAGACAAATCATTTCCTCACGTTGAACTTTAGAATAAGTTTCTCTTTCACGTACTTACAAACCAATACAAGAAAATTAATCTCTCATTTAAGAGAATGAAAGTTCACGCAAACTTAATTAAAATCGTTAGTGAATCCCACTTAAGTTCATTCAACCGCAATTCATTCACACAACTTTTCGGATAGAACTACTCCAATCGCTCTTCCCAGCCCAACAATTAAACCTAAATGATTTTTAGCAAAATAAAATCATCTTTACCAACTCAATCAATCCCATCAACTACTATATATGCAAATTGGCTATATATAAATTCATTTCTATCGTTAGGGCTGCCATTTAATTTATCAATCCTTATGAAAAAAAAAATTACATATTGCTTTTAACCTATACTTTAGGTGGTTGCATTGTCTAAACCTATAAATAATTGAGAATATGTGTAAATTCTAGGCATAGACTAGCATAGGATAATGTAGAATGTATCATTTTGTCACATATAAAATGAATATTTGAACTAAGCTACTAGCAGATAAATGTACAGTGGAAAGAAGGTGAAAACTAAAACAACTATGAAATATTCCATTTTCAAATTTGAAAATATAGAGTTAATTCTATTTTTGTCCTCCACATTTAGTCTTTTTCTTTTTTATCAGAACATCCTCATTTGGTCATAGTATATATTATTGTAACATGATCATTTTTTGTCATCTGTCAACAAAATCGTTGAAATGTCGTTAAATACAAGGACATTTCGATCTTTTATATAAAAAGTATGTTTACCTGCTATATTTGTTACGTTAATTTTTTCTTTTTGAAAAAACCCATAATGAAAGACCGAAATGCCTTTGTATTTAATGACATTTAAATTGTTTTGTTGATTGATGACAAAAATGGTCATGCCACAATAATACTAGAACTAAAAGTGGATGTTCTGAAAAAAAAAAAAAAAAAAAAGACTAAAAGTAGACTGTCACCTATAAATCTAGGCCCGAAAATGAAATTAACTCGAAAATGTAATATTTCAAAAATTCTTTTATTATATTGTTATATGGTGGCCTCCAGTTATTAGATCGTGGTGCTAATTGCTATACAAGTATAAGTATATAAAATTATGTTTTCGTTATCAATTATAACTTTTCTGCATAGTAGTAATCGTTTGATCTCCCTTCCCTCTCTCACACACTACATATAATGGAATAAAATTAAATAATATTATTTTGAGCAGTAAATTCTCAATGTTCAAATAATGACATGATATGATACATGCTAATACAAGTCCTTTCAATGATACTAATATGTTACCTAAGTATATTATAGATAATTACTGTGGTGTGACGTATATGAAACATTAATTAATATAACATCCCCCAATGTCACTTTCAATCTAAGAGTTTTTTGGCCCCCAATTTGGTTGAATATTATTTATCAAAAATAATATAAAATACGTTGTATCATTTAAACAAAAGAAATACTTATAATTTCCTAAAATGGACGAAATAAAATCTATTTTTTTAAAAAAAATTATAACTAATAACAAAAGTTTGTGTATTATAAAGTGCAACCTGATATCAATTGTCAGTAATGAAGATTCAACTAATCATTCACATCTGTGTGTCAGTAGCAATACTTGCTGAAATTTGGTCAAAGAATACAAAGACATAAAACATAATCCTTTATTTTCTTTATATAAGTATAAAAATAAAGATTGTACTCGAAATTTCTGAATATAAATAAAAACACATTCTTAATCTCTTAATTACTGCACTTTTATCATTATACCCTCATTTCACTACCAGTTAATTTAAAAAAGATTTCTACTACTTAGACCCCCAAATCTTACTTCTTAAATTTTACTTTCTGATTTGACACACCTGATAAACTACTTTTTTCATGTGGGTCCCAATACAAATGTCTATATCAAAATTTTGTGTAAAGGAGTATAAATAGAGAGTAGAAAATGAGAATACACATAGTATTTTCCTTTAAACAAATGTAACCCATCAATTCGTATACGCTATAATACAGTTTTAATTGTTACTTGATACTATTTATCAATCCTTATATCATGAACTAGGATTCACAATGCATTATGGACATGATGTGTGTATATGTGTTTTATGTTGTGAATTTTTGTGTCTTGTGTTATAAAATTATATACTTTGAAAGTATGAGTTTTGTATCTGAAACAAATTAGTAGTTGTGTCTTATGTTATGAATTTCTGTGTCTTATGTTGTGAAAGAACACAAATTCTGTACCTAAATCAGATTTGAAAAAATAAGTAAATATATGACATGCGTATGTGTTTTCTGTTGTGAATTTTTTGTGTTTTGTATTATGAAATATTGTACCTTACGATTTTGTACCTCGTCATTTTGATTCAGGGTCCATAATGTTATGTGAATCATTGTCCATGATATAAATTGCCACTATTTATACATTATACATATAATACATGCATAATGTTTTATTAGGACGAGATACCCAAACACAAACTAGACCACATAAACATTAAGTCACCCACCCTACACTCCCTACCCCATGCCCTCCACCCACCCCCCTCCCCCCAACCCCCCAACCCCCTTCTCTTATAAGTGTTGCATGACTCATTGGGAAAGTTATGGTGGCTTTTAGTTGTGCATTCTAAAATTACTCTTTCCTCTTCTTCATCATCCATTACCAACCACCATCTCCAACCACTCCACAATCCTACTCTACAATCTTCTCTTCATACACATATATATATATATATATATATATATATATATATATATATAATTTTAATTTTATATATATCTATATTTAGGCGCATTATATTATATTGTACATGTATATATACATGTGTAGTAGAAATGATGAGTGCTGAATCATCACCTGATTCTCCGGTTTCTGTTGTGAACTGCGGTGGCGGCGAGGAGGTTTCCGGGCAGAAGATGAAGAGGATAAGGGATAGCAGCAAGCATCCGGTGTACCGGGGGGTTCGGATGAGGAGTTGGGGGAAATGGGTGTCGGAAATCCGGGAGCCGAGGAAGAAATCGCGCATTTGGCTCGGGACTTTCCCGACGCCGGAAATGGCGGCGCGTGCGCACGACGTGGCGGCGTTGAGCATCAAGGGGAGCTCAGCGATACTGAATTTCCCTGACCTAGCGGGGCTGCTGCCCCGACCCGAGTCGCTGAGCCCTAGAGATATTCAGAGCGCGGCGGCGAAGGCGGCGGCGATGGAGAAATTCGACTTGCCGTCGCCGTCCTCACACTCCTCCTCGTCGTCGACGTCGTCGCTGTCGTCGCTCGTGTCCGCCATCGACATCGCCACGTCGGAGGAGCTGAGCGAGATCGTCGAGCTGCCTAGCCTCGATACTAGCTTCGACTCGCTCGGATTGGGCGGCGAGATCGTTTACGTTGACTCTGTCGAAGAGTGGCTGTATCCGCCGCCATCGTGGCTGGGCGGCGCCGCTGACGACGGCGGCGGAGGAGGACCCGGGATTATCTCCGGCGGCTTCGAGTCTTCGTGGTGGGAATATTAATGGCCGCCACTAATCTTCCTGTGTGAGATTTTCTTTTTTTTCCTTTTTCTTTTTTGTTGTATTTATGTTTTCTAATTTTCTTTTTAGCCCTTTGAATTTTAGTCTGTAGGGTTCTAAAAATTCCATCATTTCGATTTCTCACCCCCCAACTTCTTAGTTCGTGTAATAATCTCTCTTTAATGAGTCCTTACTGTACAGTGTTGGGAAGGAATCAACAAATTTCATAAATGCCTTCCAATGCTTTGCTGTATAAATCTCTTTCTTTCTCTCTCTGAAGTTGAAATGTCCATTTTGTGTATTTTATTTTTATTTTTATCATCAACATTGCAATAATTTCGACCCAATAATCTCAATAAATTACATAAATATTCTCTATCGATCTCTTTTTATCATCAATTACTACACGATTGCACTGCTACGGCTCTCAAACATGCCTGGAGGACTTTGCGACGCAATCGGTATCTGGGTACAGTGCAATCATGTAGTAAGTGGGGTACAATCATTCAACAGTTTGTAGTTTGCAGGTTAAAGTTGGTACACTTGATTATGGACCTATATATATATATATATATATATATATATATATATATATATATATATATATAATATGTGTGATAATAATCTTAGTTGATGGAGGATGCATCAATTTATTTTTTCAGAAGAAAATTATCATATGAAAAATTGTTATTTACAATGAATTTTGTATATTTGGTATTAAATGGTGCTGGTTAAAATAAGTGTAAGCATATCCTAAAAAGAGTGACCAAGTAGATAAAATATGATTCTTATACTAAAATGTCATGTATTCAATTTTTGTTGAACATTTTTTCACTTGTAATAAGAACTAGCTCTTCTTTTTCTCGTTCATTTATTTTTCTTAGTAAATTCTTACATTTTATCATATTTTAACTTTCTATGCTTAATAACTTGCAATGTAATCTTTTAATTCAAATTTCATTTGCTAATATCAAATTAAATATTATAAAAAATTAAATTAAAAATAAATTGAATCAAGTTTTGGTATGCGAAACAGATATATCATTTGGGATAAAGGGAGTAATTGCCTATTTTTCTTTATTTTTTTTTTCTTAAAAAAATTATTTCTAAAAAGGTGATGCCTATTTTGGCATCTTGACGTAATTGGCTCATAATAATTCACATTAAAAAGCAAAAAAAAAAAAAAAGTTATTTATAAATAAAACATAGTCCTTTTATCCTTTTCACCCTAGCTAGCAAGTGCAGTGTCCACTTCATAGAAACTTTTCTTTATGTGACAGACTGATATTGACTATTTTGTTAATTTTGCTAAATTTGTTAAGTCTTCCTATTCCTCATTGATTGCAAGTTTTGTATTTTTTTTTTCTTTATAGAACAAAGAGAGTAATGCTACAATTACTCTCTTTTATTTCGTTATTATTCTTTGTTTATATGATCTAACTTGCTTTGATTAATTATAAAATAAAGGCTCCACTTTTTTTTTTTTTTTTCAGTGATTAAGACATCGGATGGAACTTTGGAAGTAAAAAAGTATTCGTAGGTTGCATTTACTTCAATTTTTTTGTGTTACGTTCAAACGTTTGCCGTAACTTTCATGCACCAAACAATTTCTTCATAACACTTGTCAGTTACAATTGAACAATATGTGACACTACCTTGACTTTTATTTTTATCAGAAATAGTCTTTTATAAAAATTTCTGTTAAATGGGTGTTAAATCTAGGGTACCTTCATCAAATCAATTAATATGATTAATTTTTTGAAACAATTAATATGATTAATTGATTATGGAGTTAATACCCAAAATCGTCCTCGACTATAGTGGTTTTTCTCAATTTCGTCCTAAACGACTTTAGTGACCTAATATCGTCTCAAACTTTTGTGTTTCGCTCAATTTAGTCCCAGACTTTTGTGTTTTTGCTCAATTTAGTCCCTCATTTGTTATTCTGTCCATTTGGTGTTAAATAAATAGACAATTCAGTAATTTTAATATTGGCATCTCTTTACTCATAGACATGTGAACTGCGAAATCCCTTTTTTTTACGAATTACTCCCAGAATTACTCCTAAAACTGCGAATATAAAATTTGATTTGCAGATCCGGGAGTAATTCTGGGTGTAATTCGTACAAGAAAGAGGAATTTCGCACTTCACAACTTGAAAGTAAAGAGAGATCAATATTGACATTACTGAATTGTCACTTTATTTAACACCAATTTGACGGAATAACAAATGGAGGACTAAATTGAGCGAAACACAAAAGTCTAGGACGATATTAGGTCACCAAAGTCATTTAGGACGAAATTGAGAAAAACCACTATAGTCGAGGACGATTTTGGGTATTAACTCATTGATTATGATTACCTCTTTTAGGGAATTATGTGGGTTAATTTAATATGAATATGATCCCTGAATATATAATAGAGGTAATCCATTTTTGGGTATTCTCTCTAACACAACATTTCTTTATTTTTTTAAAGATGATTTGGGTGATTTTTACCTAAATTTATACTCATTTTATTACACAATTCATGTTGATTAGATCGTTGATTTCTTAGTCGTAAAACCAACACATAATACTTGTAGTTTTTATTCCATGTTTCATACTTTGTTGACATGTAGACACATTTTTTTTGTTTTTTTTTTTTTTTGTTTTTTTTTTGTTTTTTTTTTTTTGAGAATACATGTAGACACATTTTAATAAGTGAATTACAAATTTTATCTTCTTTCCCTATCAAAACATATAATAATTAGAGTTTTACTTGTATTAATTATTTACTTAGTAAAAATCTTTTAACCATTTGATTCATAACTACTTGACAGCAATCAACGGTGATGGATTTATTGCGAAAGACATAGGATTCCAGGACACCGCCGGTGCCGGAAGTGAACAAGCCGTGACACTAAGCCAGATGTGGATTTGACGATAATAACTCTAAATTTAACACCGTTTTGACAAAAATTTTGTCGGAAGACTATTATTTGTGGTAAAAAATGAAAGTTAAGTACGCGTTTTGGTCGAATTTAAAGTTGAGAACTAAAAGGAGTACTAGCCCAATAGTCTAAGGATCATTTGTGGTATTAGCTCTAGTTTTAAAGAATTTTAAAAATTCATTTGTTAAATCAAACACTTATAGCTATGCCAAAAGTTATAGCTTGTAGTAAATGCACAACTTCATTTCTTTCTACTTCCGTAACAGTCAGTTCTCGTTCTGATGGTATGATGTAGAACTCAGCCCTCTAAGTTTCCGTCCAACATCATTAGTATTCGAAAAAAAAAAACATGTACTTTTATAGGTTGTTTAATTTTATATTAGACTACTTTTGTTACATTTATAGATATTTCGATAGCATGCATGATGTTTTAAAATTTACAAATAATATAGTTATTTAAAAAAAAAAAAAAATATTGATGGAAGGCACCCTGGCCCTATTATTTAAGGTTACTGGTCCTGGTGATGGTTACATTTGGTGAATAATTAGAATTATGGGTGAGCTAATTAAGGTCAAAATCTCAGCATTGCTTCACTGTCTTCTCCATTCTTTTCTGTTGTATATATTAATATGGGTGATAGATGTTTCTTCTGCTTTTCATAGGCTGGAAATTAAAACATATAACGGTGACAGAAGACACAAGAGTAAGGTGATTCAACTGTTTGAAGATGATGTTTAATCAGACAACTTTCTAGCCATATATACATATATATATATATATATATATATATATATATATATATATATATATATGTATATATATATATATATATATATATATATATATATATATATATATATATATATATATAGATATAGAGGGGTGCAAATTCACTTCTTTTTTCAATGTGAGACTAAGGCTATTTACTACAAGCCTTTCCACTTCCATTTTTCAACGCGAATGAGTCTATTATCCAATATCAGTTTTGAGCGCACAATATATTGATCTCTTCGTCTCACAACGAAAAATCTCAATTTTACTTTGACCCAATCCAATTTGAAAGTGTACCCTATGTATATTTGTACCGCAAAATAACAACTCAAAATGTCATTTTGTGCTATTTTTTCTAACACACTATGCTCTAATATATATGAATATGATTATATTGGATATGACTAGAAACCATTATCGTTAATATCTGGTACAATCATGTTGGTATGTATAATGATATCATGTGCAAATGACTCTAGTGTTTATTGACAAGATAAATATTTCATAAAAAAAATATATGATATGTTATGAAAGTTTTTTTTTTTTAATTATTATAAATAATGAGTATCACTAGAAGTAAATAAAATTGTGTAATGGTATATTCAACTTAGAACTTTAATAAGTTTTATAGACTTTTTATTATATTAAAAGAAAAAAAGAATTTGTAAAAGTCGATAAAAATTAGTGATATAAGACATTGTTTTTAGATACTAGTTGGTGAAAGAACAAACTAAGAGACACTAACTAAACTGAGGCCAAACAACATCACACAAAATCTATAAACGTTTATTTATTCATGAAGGTTTATTGGTTTTAAAATTTATGTCTTAATGGAATATACACTCCTTATCTTTGAGTAAGAGTTAAACTTTATCTGGTGTAATCTAGACTAAATGTAAATTAATTTTACAGTAATAATAAAGATCTGAATGTAGTATGAAGAAACAAATACAACACCCTCTTATATCATTACATACAATTGATCCCATCATATTAGGTCTTTCTTGTGCGACTTAATTACTTATCATATATAGTTAAGGAATTTATTGAATGCAGAATTTCAAACAGTAATAATAGGTTTCCTTATAAAAAACAAATTCAAACCCCTCCCCTTAGCATCTTTGGATCAACAATTGTGCACAACATTTAAACCACATGATTTGTTTGGAGGCTTTTGTTGATGGTTTCAAGAAAGGAACAGTGGAGTTGTGGGTGAGTGTACATAAATAATGATGATGATGATAGGACTGTATATTCTCCCCCATCTAGAACTCGCCAGATTCACCATTGCCAGTGGATTACATAAAATGCCATACCCAAATTTCACTACTTTTTTAAACTGGCTGAATTGGGGTAATTATTACTAAAATTACAGTCAAATGTGGATAATTTAGTCTAGGGTTTCATGATTCCTTTTCAACAATTATTGCTTCCTTGCAACTTTCAGTGTGTCCATTGACTTTGTATGGAAAATACTACATGTACCTCTAATTTTTTAATTCCAGTTTTTATTTTCACACAAAATCTTGATATAGACACTTGTATTGGGATTCACAAAAAAAAATAATCTATCAATACCTGCTACATCAGGAAATAAAATTTAGAA